GACAGACTCTTACACACTTTGGATGTGAAGCGGGCTCTCCTGTTCTACCTCAATAGAACACGCCCAACAAGACGAGACTCCCAATTGTTCGTCTCTTACGTACCAGCAAGGCTGGGGACTCACATCACGGCTCAGCGCCTGTCAAAAGTGGATTGCGGGGCTCATCCATCTCTGCTACCTAATCGCCAAACAGCCATTGCCTGGCCCTATCAGGGCTCATTCTACCAGAGCTGTTGCGACTGTCTTCCTCCAGGGAATTCCCCTGACAGACATTTGCAAAGCCGCTACATGGGCCATGCCTAACACCTTCATCAGGCACTACACCCTAGACGTCCGTAAGAACTCTAATACCAACATGGGACGTCACATTCTGTCTTTGGCTACGCAGTAAGGACCTGCCAGCACCCTCCTCCAGGTAGGCCGCTGCTCGCTAATCTCCCATGGATGTGAAGCACAGAGACCACGTCGAAGATAAACAGGTTGCTTACCTGTAACTGGTGATCTTCAAGTGGTCATCTGTGCATTCACACCACCCGCCCTCCTTCCCCGCTGCTGTCAGCTTCTACATTTTCAATAGGGGTTGATTTGCGGCGGTTTGAAGGAACTGGCGGGATGTCCGCACCCACCCCTCTGGGCACGTGCGGTAGGGTTCCTGCGCATGCCCGAGGTTTGGGCGCAAAAATCTGTTAAAAGAGCTTGCTACAGCATCGATCGATCCAGCGCGTGGGCACTAGATCCCATGGGTGTGAATGTACAGATGACCACTCGAAGATCACCAGTTACAGGTAAGCAACCTGTTTTTCACCTTTAATGTCTCTAAAATCTGTAACTACATAGTGCCCCTCCGTAGTGATCTTTTAAATTAAAAGTCCCCAAGCACTACAAGCTTTTACCCATATGGAAGATGCTCCTAGCCCCTTTTTTACTTTTGATTTCTAATTTGTATTTTGAGTTTTAGAAATGCAAAACCAGTAGTGCAAAAATCTTTATAGTTGTTTTTCATTTTGAGTCAAGTAATGGCGCTAGGTCAGCATGCTAAGAATTTTTTAATCTTCTTTCTGGGAAATGAAGTATGATAGGGCTTGCATGTCAGGTATATGTGTTTGTGTGTACACACACACACACATATATGTATAACATGTATGCAATATTTGGTACAGTCAGCTCCAATGTGTGCTGTGAACTTACTGTTCTTGATCCAACACTGGGAGCTTCCTGCATGACCTGGTTGTGGGAGGCGGGCTCCATCCATAGTCAGTAAACCAGAATATACATTGGTTCTTTTGCTAGAGGACACTAAACTCTTTGCCATGGTTACTGACACTGAAGTGGTTTCTTTTTTGCCAAAGATAAAATGAATTATTTTGACACTCCCTGAGCTGGAAACTGTGCATCTCTTGCCAGCTCTATGTTTTCTGTTTACAGCTCTGGAACTGCTAACCTCAGATTATAGGTGTCATTCCTTTCTGAGAACCTTTTTCTAAAATTACAGTTGGTATTACAAGTCCAACAGTACCTTGTTTGTTTTTTCTCTCCCACACCAGGTGGAAGGTGGCCACACACCAGAACCAAAGGAAAACTGGGAAGAGAACTGCCATCAGAATGGGCTTTCTCTCCCTTTAGAAGAAGGGGAGAACCTTTCTCACTCATTAGAAGCAGAACACAGGTCAGCAGAAAGAAAACTAATCAAAGGGGAAGTCTCATTCCACTAGCATTCTATAGAAAAGTTGCTGCCATCCGTCACTTGGTAACACATCTCCAGTGCAGTGCAGCCTCCTGCTGTTTTATGAAGGACACTGTAACACTGGAAGCACCACTAGATAGTACTCATTTACGCAGCTTCATATATTTCTGGTAACTGCCTCATTTCCTTAAACCATCCGTAGCTATTCTTCAGCAATACAAGAGCTGGATGAAGCCTGCACAAACCTTTCCTGAGGCACAACCCGGCCTGTGAAGCTTAGAAGGAAATGTTTCTATCAGGAGGCTGGGGTGGTTTTCCCATATGCAGGTAGCAAACTGTATTGGTTCTTGGCCCTGCATGGTCTCCATTAGCAACTGTGAACAGGAAAGGAGCCTTCTCTTTCACTTGCTGTAGTGGCAGTAGTCACTGAACCAACAGGGAACATGATGGCTTAATCTTAATGTCCTTCACTGGAGACCGCCAAAAATAAAGGGGGTAAAACCAGATATTGATAATTATATTTATTTGTCCAATGATATTTATTTGTCTGAGAGACAGAGAGAAGTGTGGAAAAAATGAAAGAGGTGGAAAGAAGGAAAGAGGGAGAAACAAAAAAGCAAATAGGGGAGGGAGGGAGGAAAGTAGGAAGGGAGAGAGAGAGAAACAAAGAAAGCAGATAGATGAGGAAGGGGGAGGAAGGGAGGGAAAGAAAAAGGAAAGAGAGAAAGGGGGAAAGAAACCCAGATAGGTGGGGTAGGAAAAAAGGGGGAAAGAGAGAGAGGTGGAAAGAAACCAGATAAATGGGGAGAAGAGAGGAATGAGGGGAGAGGTGGAAAGAAAGTAACTTCAACTTTAAATGTGTTCCCCAACCCACCCCCCATCAGCCAGCTTGGTTTAAGAAGGGATTTAAGGAGACAAATGCCTTCTCCAAGCCAGCTGGGAGGGGGGCTTTGAGAACACATTTAATGTTTGTTTTCTTTCTCTACTCCCCCCCCCCCACACACACACACCCCTCAGGCCTACCCAGGGAGAGGAACACTGGCTGGGGAAGGGAAGACTTATTGGGGAGAGATGCCTCCCATTCACTTTCCCAGCCACCCTGCCAGGAGCTGCGCATTATGTGTGAAAGAGGCGCATGCGGCTCTGTAACCACAGTTTGGTCACCCTTGACCTAGTTGCTCCTAATAATGATTGTAAAATAGAACTAATTAAACTGACAGTTTTATTCCTGCCAAAATTGGAGGTAGATACCAGAAGGAGTTATCCATTGTATGTGGTTGGGTGGTAAGAGTTGATCTTTGCCATCTCTAATCTGATCTCTTTTTTTCTTTTCTTTTCCTTCCAATGGCTAGGTTATTGAAAGCAATGGGATGGCAGGAATATCCTGAAAATGATGAGAATTGCCTTCCCCTCACAGAAGACGAGCTCAGAGAGTTCCAAATAAAGTCAGAGCAGGTTTGTTCGGCTTGTTTTCCCCACATCAAACTCTGTAAGCATTATCCTGCTTTCCAGGGTAGCAGTGCAATCCTAAAAGCAGTTTTCTAGGAGTAAGCCAATTAAATAGATTTGAGCAAAATTCTGAGTAGACTGGCTTAGGTTTGCTCTCTGAGTAATAAAGTACAATATCTGCAGTGAAAACTGTAACTGCTTAAAAGTAAATGACTTTGTTCTACTACATTGGCAACCCATCTTATATGTACATGACTTTAGGGTATAATCACTTTGAGCTGCTTGCCTAGATAGTAGAACAGAATGGAAAATGTGATTAACTCATTTTTGTTTGTTTCTTCCAGCTAAGAAGAAATGGCTTTAGGAAGAATGGATTTCTTCAAGGCCGTGGCAGTAGTCAATTGTTCTCCTACTGGAGAAGCACTTTTAAGACAGAGTTTGAAGAGTCAGACACAGAAACCAGTAGCAGTGAAACTTCAGATGACGATGCCTGAAATGGGCACAGAAAATTACACAGTACAAAACCAACCCAGCAAACTCAGTTTGTAGTTCAGCACATAAATGTTCGAGGTTCTAATGAAGCAGAGTTTATTCTGTCTCAAGTCTGTTCAGTTTCTTTTTATTGTTGAAAACTTCATGCACAAGGGAAAGAATTTTATCCCAAAGAAGAAAGCTATTGGCTTATTACTTTTAGATTTTGCCCTTCTGTGCTTCATAGAGAACAGTCCATGCAGATGGGTGACCCAACGTCTTCTGGGGCAAGGCTCAGGGTTCAGTCTCATCAGCAGCAGGATGTCAGGGACTGAAGTGGGCAGTCACAAGCTTCTCATACTGCCGTCCACATCGCAAAATGCTGTGCGGCAATAATGTGCTAAAACAATCATTGTCAATGACAAAATGGCTATGGAAGTTCTAATTGTGTTAAATTAATGCTAATAACATGGAACTTTTTTATTTTTTTTGGCGGCTCGGGGAGCTTCATCACTTAACCAGGCGTGGTTGTTGTTTTTTTCTCTTTTGGGGTACAGCTGTAAAATATTTGGATATAGGAATTGTTTGTGTTCTTCTTGCAACCTTGATATTCAGGGTGGATTGTAAAATATAAATTTTTGTGGGATTTCAAAGATTAAGATTATTTTGATAACATTATTTACAGATTTTAAAAAGTGATTATCACATTGAGTCTGTATGAGGGGAAAAACTACTGCATCAAAAGATAACTAACTTGGAATAAATATTTTGCATCAGTTTGCCAATCCCGTGTCTGTCATTTCTCAGCAAAGCACTTCTAAGAATGATAGATAATACAGTGAAAACGTTGAGTATCCTTTGATTATTTTCTAAAGCAAAAGATGCAAGTTGAATGGTTTTGCTTGCTTGTTGCAGCATGCTTCATGATAAACCTATACAGAACTCTTATCACAAAACAGGAGGAAAATAACACAGTGTACCAGAGTAATATATACAGATAATTCTTAAGTGAATATTGAGAATGCAAATACAATGTCCTTGAGATTTAATGGAGTCTGAAGAGCATTTAAGAAATGAGACGGGGTGGTGTGGGTAGGTTGAATCGCTTAAAAGGCTAAAACTTCTTTTAGTGCTTTAACAAAATGTACTGCTTATAATTTAGGTAGCATAAAATTGCACAGTGACTTATTTATGAAACTTGAAAGTATAAATGCCTTCATTTTTTCTGTAAGCAACATTTCAAGTACACCCAGTATAAAAGAGAAAAAGGCGAACTTCGATCTTACCACACTATCCTACCACAAATACCTTAATTTTTGCCACCTTGTAGGTAAGGAAAAATAAGTTGAAAAAAGAAAAAACATCGTTTTGGGGGGGAAACTAGTATTTGGACAAATAGTCTTGAACAATCACAGACGCATCATATTTGGATATTGTTCAACTCTTAATGCTGTACATTCAGTAGCATAGTCTTGAAAATAAGAACAATAAGCTTCTAGTTTCCCAGCATGTGGGTTACTGTCACAGTCTTTTAAGGAGAAAGTTGCAAAGGTTGAGCATGGGAAACCAGGTCAAGAAGACAGCATATGCTGGGTGTCCTGGCTTCCACTATAATTACCAAGTTTAGATCAGGTCACCAGATGAAGTCAAGTAAACAATCCACAAGCCAAGAGAGCCCTGTCCAGTACTCTCATAAAGAGGACAGTACCTTCAGGGTAAAGAAATGTATATTGGATCTTCCTATGTATATAGGAAGCCTAAAGCATAATCAAATCTCAAGTTTTCTCAGTGGAAAAAATGGAATTTGGAGGGAGCACTACAGTGCTGCTGAATGTTTCAAAAAGACTGGATTAATACAAGTTTTTATATTCTTCAGGCTTCAGAGTGAACTTCATTTAAAAAGTTACAATGCAAAAAAGTATTCCATGGCTGGGATTCAAAGATCTGCATGTATTTGGTTCTCAATTGAAATTGAATTTAGTCTTCTACAAGTAGAGTTTTAATTTAATCAGTCTTATTATTAGCCATCACTAGGTAGTAAAGCAGCACACATTTTATAAATGGAGCTTTGGGAACAGCAGCTCCCAATGCTTTGGCTGTGGTCACACGGAGCATTAGCCACGCTACAGAGACGGAAGATAGGCGGATTTTCCGGGCGCAATCAAAAGGCAACATCTGGGAAGCGTAGAGCTCCCGTGGCTAACCCGAGGCTTCCCGCCGAAGATGCGCCATAAAAAACTAATACCTCCAAGGTAGTAGTTTCCGGAAACCGCGGGGCAAGGGCGGACATTTGATACGTTTCCGGTGGTAGCTCGTGGCATCCAGCACCCGCCCACAACCTGTTGCGAAAAGGTTGTTTTTTTCCCCCAAGTCTCCACGGGATGCGCACAAGCACTCAACGGCGCATGCGCACACTTCGGTTACAAAAAAACCACAACCCCCACCGCACCACTTCTTTGCCGCGCCGCAGGATTGACGTATGATCAGCACCTCCCCCCGAACCGCGGGACGTTTGATCCGGCGGCCGCGTGGTAGTTCGGTCCGGGGCAAACAGCCCCCCCCCCGAAGTATCCGGCCCGTGTGACCGGGGCCATAATGTTACTGTTGAAACTCTAGGGGGGGTGGCAAATGCTGTTCAACAAAAGGCCAAAAATCCCAGTAGGCTGGCCTAAGCTCTAAAGAGACTTTTAAATCAAAGCATTCAGTTGTTCAGGTTGGCTCACTGTAGACCATCACATTCTAGCTGGTTACACTTCCCCTTTGCTATCCTAATATCATTTTGCATAAGATCCAGTATTTTATATAGGGATTATGCGAGTTTTGCTTCATTTGGTTTGAGCTGTATTTATTTCAACAATGAAAAGAGGTTTTATTTTCCTTGATGTTTTACAAAGGTAAGTGGCTTCAATCTTCGCTTCGCTGAAAGTTTCTGCTTATTCAATATTTTAAGCTACTTTCTTTTCAGTCACTGAACCCCCTGCTCCATTTCAAACAAAACCAGTACACTCTCATAGGCTTTGAGTAACAGGACCAGTCTGTTGCTGGTGAGCAGCTATTTTACACTAGGGGGTACTCAGGTACAGTTCACCTAAGAAATTCTATGGGACTTATTCCTTAATGCTTAGAACTGCAGTCCGTGAAGGCAGCAGAAAAAGAGGAAGACACAGCATGAGATGGAATGACTCAATAAAGGAAGCCACAGTTTGCAAGACCTGAGCAAGGCTATTAATAGGATGTTTTGGAGGACATAATTCACAGGATCGGAAGCACCTTGACGGTACGTGGAAGAAAAGAGATTGAATTTCTACCCTACCCTTTACTACCCAAAGGAGTCTCAGAGCATCTTACAATCCCTTTCCCCTCCCCACAACAGACACCCTGTGAGGTAAGTGGGGCTGAGAGAGCTCTTTGTAGAACTGCTGGTGAGAGAACAGCTCTGAAAGAACTTGTAAGTGACCCAAGGTCACACTATCAACTGCATATGGAGATGTGGTGAATCAAACCCGGTTCTCCCAGATTAGAGTTCACACTCCTAACCACTACACCAAACTGGCTCTTAATAACAAGTACACCCATAAGGAAAGTGCAAGTGTATTATAAAGAGAGATGGCTTGTTTGCTTTTTGGAAAAAGATGTGTACCCTGCTACCCATAACTGGAACTCTTGTGGAACTTCCAAGCCCTTCTGGAAGAATCATAGAGCTGGAAGGGGCCATACAACCATCTAGTCCAGCCTAAAGCATCTCTGACATATATAGAAGCAAGAGTTATGCACTTAAACACACACAGCATATCGCAGGCTAGATAACAGGCTTTGAGTAATAGGACCAGTCTGTTGTTGGTGAGCAGCTGTTTTATATTAGGGGGCTGTCCGTAAACAGCTAGAAAATGACAATGTTTTTATAATGTATCTATTCATGCGTTGTTATCTTGTCAACCTATTTCTCTACTTAATTAGGTTTGCAGTGTAGTTTTAAGTCTTATTCTGGGGTTCATGTTCCTTTTAATAGTTTGTAGAGGGAATCTCAACAGGTGTAAAGTAAAGGTAAAGGTTCCCTTGCTCGAAAGCCAGTCGAATCCGACTCTAGGGTTGCGGTGCTCATCTCCGTTTCAAAGCCGAAGAGCCAGCGCTGTCCGAAGACGTTTCCGTGGTCATGTGGCCGGCATGACTAAACACCAAGGCGCACAGAACGCTGTTACCTTCCCACTGAAGTGGTACCTATTTATCTATTTCTGGCTTTCGAACTGCTAGGTTGGCAGGAGCTGGAACTACAGACGGGAGCTCACTCCGTCATGCGGCACCCAGGTCTCGAACTGCTGAACTGCCAACCTTCCACAGCCTGTAGTTCAGCGTCTTAACCACTTGAGCCACCGCAGCTCCTTCAACAGGTGTAGGGACACGTTATTTACCACAGTGCTGACGATCTGAAGAAAGCTGCACAAGGTAAAAGTCCCCCAGACCGCAAAGCTATTTAAAAATACAGATGCCCTGTACTCAACTGGGTCTGGCTAGCCCCAGTGACATACCGGCGTAGAGCAGAAAAGATCACTCAGGATCTGGAATCCCACTAGTGCCCTGCAAGAACCTTTCACAGAACAACAGGTCCTACGAATATTTCCAGCCGGCTCTTCTCAAGCATGTTTACGACACTCACTTCCGCTTGCCAACCATGTGCATGTGCCGCATTTTGATGACGTTATAGCACAAGGAAGGGGAATCGCGTAGGTTAGGGTGTCGCGAGATGTCAAGTGCAAGAAACCGCCCCGTGATGCCTTGCGGCCTTCTCTTTGCAGACGGCGCGTCCGGAGAAGGATGGGTGAGTGATTCGGCAGCAGCGGGCGAGGTCTTTTTATCCTTCGGCATCGAGCTAGGTGTCCGACTCTGCCAAGCTCCAGTTCGGGTAATAGGAAGAGGGGCGTTTGTGGGATGAGTTGCATGGATCATTGCTGGTTGGAGCCCTGTTTTTCTGCCACTGTTGTGGTCGGGCCCTGTCTGGATGGCAGACTTTCCTTCGGCCTGTGTATTTGTGCCATGTTATTACAATGGCCGCCTGCAACTGGGATCTTCTCGCGCAGCGACGCCTTTTCCGTGGCCGAACCCCGTGCGGTCCTTTGCTCCGTGTTCCAATGATGAAGCTTCTTTTAATGCTGCATTAGGCTGAGTACGCCATGCGGAGACCTTGGAGAGCTGAGTAACTCTGGGCATAAGGATCTTTCGGGGCAGGAGGGGGATTTGTCCTGTGATGTTACCCGTGTACCTTATTTGCCTGGGTTTTTTTCTGTGTATCCAGGTATCTCCAGGGACAACTGGCACAAGCGCCGGAAGACTGGGGGAAAGAGAAAACCCTACCATAAGAAGAGGAAGTATGAGTTGGGGCGACCCCCTGCCAATACCAAAGTATGTGATTTTGGGTCTAGTGTGGTTCTGTTGTGTATACAGTGTAAGAGTATGTTCAGGTGGTGGTGAAATAGAGTTATTTACATTTGGAAGAATTATGTATACACTCATCTCCATCTTTTCAGTCTCCATTGCAGGAAATCAGACCTGAAAAGTTCTTACTAGAAAGTAGTCTGTTGACACTGTTACCTTAATTGAAACATCTCTAGGCTTAAAGAATAAACCATATCTCATTGTGTTAGCTTTATCCTGTGTGTGTTGTGGGTAATACCAAAAACTGGAGCAGACATTCTCTTGTTACTGTTTAGCATATAGGTTTCCCTGAACCCATCTTAATAGTCTCCATTTAGCTGTCCTTTCTTTTTAGTATTCAACTCTCTGTGCTTCTTTGTGTTGGGTTCAGATAACCATTTCAGGCGTTCTTAGGAATTTGAGTTTGGGAATTTAGAGAGTTCTCTTTGATCAGTAGTCCCCTCCTGGATATATTGCAAACTGCTTTTAAAAGCCTTCTCTCTGTCATGTATATTATTTGAGATGGCCAGAGTTCACTGTTACTGGACTTTGAGGCAACTGGAGTGATGAGAACTACACCTTAGGTGGGTGCTGTGGGCTGTTTTAGTCTAATTTGCACTTGCCAATGCTAGGGGTTGTCATAGTTACACTGACCATGTTGCTGTGTGGGCTTGGTCTTTGTGGGAAGAGTTTATTGCTGTAATTGTTTTGACACAGTCTGTTGTATGCTTTGTTGTAGATTGGCCCCAGGAGAATTCACACGGTAAGGGTACGTGGTGGGAATAAGAAATACCGCGCTCTACGCCTGGATGTTGGAAACTTCTCTTGGGGGTCTGAATGTAAGTGCAAAGTGGGTACACAGCATGTGTGACATTAGTTATGACAGCAGTTGTAAAATGGATGCACAGCCAAGAGATCTGTATGATGACAACTGTGACCTTAAGGGAGTGAGAGTGAATGTGTCCGCTCTTCGTGACTGATGTGTCATTATTCCTTGAGTTTGTGTATTTGCAGTAGTCATTTAAAAAAGCAGTGTAATTATTGGAAGTATTGTTGGAGTTTCAGAAATGTTTATGCTTGGATCACATATGCATAATTCTAAAGAGAACATTATTGTAGAATGAAAGATTGCTCTTCTGTTACCAAGGGACAGAGAGGGCATGGGAGAGTGGACATGCTTCTGCACAGTTCCTCCTTTTTTAGCAGGCCCTGTTCAGGTTTGTGAGTAAATTTCCTGTTCTTGCTCAGATTACTGATTACTTTTTGGGTTCCCTGAGGACTGATACTGCCTTGGGTAAAGATCTTTTCAGGGGTGTGTGTATCTGTCTATGATTATATTTTTGTAAAATTGAATTGGGGGTGGTTGGAGAAAGGAAGTAACTGGTTTCCATCTTGTAAAAGTGATTCTTTCTGTAGACAGCATAGATTTGTGGCCATTGCTCCACAGCAGTTTCCATAGGAAAGCTGTGATCATACACACACAATTAAGATTATAATTTAAAGTCTCTGTCAGGTGTTCCCAAGGGCTTTAAGCTGCGTCTGAACTCAAGTGTAATGATACAAACAGTGTTCCCTCTAAGCTGAGTTAGCTAGCTCACAGTTTTTTACCCTCCGGCTCACACATTTTTTTTCTTAGCTCAGAAAGGATGGCTCCAGAGCAAACTAATTTATGCAGTAGGCAAATTGCTCGCTCACGACTTTAATGCCAGTAGCTCACAAAGTTGAATTTTTGCTCACAGGACTCCACAGCTTAGAGGGAACATTGGATACAAAATGGGCAGGGTTGGTACTGTGGTGTTGTCGACAGGAATGGCCCTTTCTTTTGGTACTGCAATTTCATTCCTGTTTCTTACTTGTGAATGCTAAATGCCTTTTGGGAATAGCCAGCACAAGCAAATAATAAAGCTCAGAGTTATTTAAGTTCTGCTAGCTTCTGCTTACAGAATGATTGTGGGGCCTTTTTTGTGTGTGTTTATGCATATTTTTTTTTGGGAGCTGCGGTGGCTCAAGTGGTTAAGACGCTGAACTGCAGGCTGTGGAAGGGTGATAGTTCAGCAGTTCGAGACCTGGGTGCCGCATGACGGAGTGAGCTCCCGTCTCTAGTTCCAGCTCCTGCCAACCTAGCAGTTCGAAAGCCAGAAATTGCAAGTAGATAAATAGGTACCACTTCGGTGGGAAGGTAACAGCGTTCCATGCGCCTTGGTGTTTAGTCATGCCGGCCACATGACCACGGAAACGTCTTTGGACAGCGCTGGCTCTTCAGCTTTGAAACGGATATGTGCACCGCAACCCCAGAGTCGGATTCGACTGACTTTCGAGCAAGGGAACCTTTACCTTTATGCATTATTTATATTCTGTTCTTGGAAGATATGATATGTCTCATTGCTGTTTACAGGCTGTACCCGCAAAACTAGAATCATTGATGTGGTGTACAATGCATCCAACAATGAGCTGGTGCGTACAAAGACCCTGGTGAAAAACTGCATTGTGCTGATAGATAGCACGCCGTACAGACAGTGGTATGAAGCCCACTACGCCTTGCCCCTTGGTCGCAAAAAGGGCGCCAAACTGGTACGTATGAAGTGGGTTGAGCAGGCTCGTCTTGCGTCCATCATTTAAGGCTTATGAAGGAAGAGAACTACTGCCCTGCTTAATTTAGCATTAGTAGTAATCTGTGTTCTATGTTAATATATGTTCAGCTATAATGTGTTACAGTTTTTGTTCTTCTGATGATGATACATTTGTCCAGTTCTGCTGCTGAATGGAAACTGATGACAAGTGGTTTTTATCTGAAGAAGGCACTGTCTGGGGCCAGTTCCCATTCAAACATTTAATGGAGACAGATGGTTTGAATACTTAGATGGAGATATTCTCTGTGAGTACAGTGCTAGAGCTATCTTAGCATTCTGTTAACTTGTATTTAACCAGATGAGATCCTGGACTTAATATTGCTGGTTTTCAGCCCCTTTGGATTTGCAGTAGAATACCAGGTTGAAATTGTGTTAAATTAAGGTTGCTAAGAATTGGGCAGTTCGCTGCCTTGTGCCAACCTCTCACAGTATCGATAGTGCTAGTGCTGTTCAGTGTGTATGATATAAATCAGCGGTGTTGTGTCAGCTTTTTATATCGATCTCCATGTGGTTGTAAAATAGTAGTATATATCTTCTTCCTAAACTCAGAAGCTTTTAATAATCATTTTCCTCTCTGTTCAGACTCCTGAGGAGGAAGAAATCTTAAACAAAAAGCGGTCAAAGAAAATTCAGAAGAAGTATGATGAGCGGAAAAAAAATGCAAAGATCAGTAGCCTTCTGGAGGAGCAATTCCAGCAGGGAAAGTTACTTGGTAAGAAGTAGGAAGAGAATGTGTAGCTTGGCACAAAGGCCCGGAGATGCTGCGCTTGCCAGTGAGATGGATGATGCATTGCAGTGCTGTCTAAAGCTGTGCCTTGAGTTCTAGGACAGTTTTCATTAGTAATATTACTTCATAATTTAAAGAAGGCTATAGCTAATTTGCTGGGGTGGATCTTGGAATTATAGTTGGCTAAACTTGAAAAACCAGGCGAGACTTTGCTAGACTGGGATTACTGAACTTTTCCTAGTACTGCTTGCCAAACATGAAAGGTGTCTCTAAGGGAATTACGTGGTGGCTGATTACCAGGAGTTTTGAAGTTCACCTCACGATGAAAACTTTGTCCAGTTCTGCTACTGAATGCTAGTGGTGACAATTGATATTCTGAAGGTGACTTCATCAGAGTAGTAATCCTTTGGCTTTCTTAGGTAGGCTCCGCAGCTTGGCAATAGAGCCTTAAATGGTGCTGTTAAACAAGAGATTGAGGACATTATCTTGGCATGTGGAGATTAGTGTTCAAAAATGGGCAGCAAAGAAATGCAATATTTTTAGAGGTGCTCAGTAGCTTGACATTTTACTTCTGTAATAGCACGTCTTGTTTTGCAGCTTGCATTGCCTCCAGACCTGGACAGTGTGGCCGAGCAGATGGCTACATTCTGGAAGGCAAAGAATTAGAATTCTACCTGAGGAAGATCAAGGCCAGGAAAGGCAAATGAACACTCACTGTACCTAAAAAGGCTTAATAAATAATCCCAGATCCTTGTCTTAAATGATTAATGTGATTATTCATGGGTGTCGAGAGGGTTCTTGTAGACATCTGTAGGCTATATTCTATATACGCGCACGCATGTGGCATGGAAGAGGGTTTGAGTTTTTGATCTTGTCCCTGAACAGTGATGTCATCTGCTGACTCAGAAGCGTTTCTGAGCTTGTTTCAGCACTACGCTGATGTGTCTTCCTTGCAGAGCAAACCGTAGCGTGCTTGTGTGCTGTGCCAGAGCCTGTGCAGGAAGGGGCTAGAAGTGGTGATCCCCAGGAGCTAGATGTGGTTTGTACAGAATAATATGTTAAAGAAATTAATAATTTCAAGGCATTATAACTTGGGATTTTTATAAATTTCATGCGCATGTATGGAGTTATAACTGATGTGCAGGTGTTTCTTTACTGTTCACTTCTTGAATTGCCCCAACCTTAAAACTCAGAATTGCAAAGTTGTATGAGGAAGTCTCTTTGCTTCCTGGTATGTGATATCTTAATCACCCACATGAGCATGTCATATGCAGTTTGTGCTCAGCTCCTGCTGGAAAGTCATGTAAGCTTGGAAGTGTCATTTGGGGGATATCCTGCCCCTTCTGGGTTTGTACAGTCTGCAGATTTGCAGAGGACCTAGACCTCTCTTCAAGTGCGTAAAGCATATTTCTAATGGTTTGATTTTGGGGTAGTAAGGGAACCAAAAAAAGTATTAGTGGGCTTGCAGCAGTTATTTGCTTGTGACCTACCAAAATTAGATGCAGTAAATTGCCGGTTTTACCTGATGATGCTTCATTGCTTCAGCACACCTGTTGACGCACTGCTAAGTGACTGGGTTGTCTTCTGTTGACCTTCCAGTATCATTCCAGTGCCAGATGAAATCCCTTCTAGCAGAAGGGCCTGACCTCTTTCCCAAAGGTTTGGTTCTTTCGAAAGCTGGGAACAACTCTCCATTTTCTAACTTTGTTATATTCTAATTTTGGAATACACACCTAAGGGCATCGAGTGAGTGTAAGTAAAATTTGGTATACGGTCATTGTCCATTTGAAAACACATGACAGAATGGATTTAAGTGTGCCTGGTGTTAAGAAATTGTAAATTATAAGACTGTTGCTTATTGGTTTGTGATTTCAGCTAGTGTCTCAATTCCCTGCCTTTGTACAGATAAAGTTAGCATTCTCCAGGAAGTGAAGTATTCTTCATATATGTTAACATTTTTGTGTTTCTTCTAGCTGGTGTATGTAATAGTGTGAGGGTGCTTTACGAAACCTCCTTTGACTGCGGCAGGCTTTTAATGAAGTAGGGGACTTGTGAGTTAGTAACTGATATGTCATTGTGTTGTTCTTTCAGGTGATACAGAGGTATTTCACAGTTTAAGCATAATACTCTCGGCCCAGGTGTCTTGCTTTTGGCTGTACAGATGCAGTCATGCCTGTCCATACTGGATAATTGGATGCTAGGTCAAGGTTTGTGTGTGTGTAGTTACATACAGCCTGATTTAATAAAATACCACATCTCAGTCTAGATCAGGCTTCAAGAACTATTTCAAAGCCTTAAGGTGTACCAAAAATCAAGGGTGTCCTCAGCCTTTTATATGGACACCTCCATCTAACTGGATCCCTGAGTAAGAGTGTGGTATCCTTTAAATGTCCATTGGATATGCAGACTAATTTGAATTCTTAAGAATCCATGTTCAGATCTGTCAGCCTGAAATTACTCCTCTGGTGCAAATCATTTCCTGAAGTTACTTTGAGAACCCTGATCATAAGGGATCAATATAGACATTTGCCTTGATGTATAAGGGTCCAACTCAAAGGCCACTAGAAGCTGGACAACTATGTATTTGCAGGGGTTTTTTGTTAACCCTGTGTTTGATGCAAAGAATTTGACATCATGACCCTGTGCAATCTGGTCAAAGTAATACCCTTGACCTCTTATATTTGAAAGAAGAGGACAATTTCTGCACAAATATCTTTAGGTCTTTACAGGTTTGCAAGAATCACATCACACGATAAAGATTCAAGCATATGTCGTAATAAATATACATAAAGTAGCTGCTCAGTTGTTTCTCATAGCCTGCCCATACACCAGTCAGCTACAGCTTATCAGCTCTCTGCTTCATGTTGGAATTAGCCATGTAATTCCTTAAAATGTCACTTAATAGAGAAATAGGTCTGGTTCTACAGAAGTAATAAAAGATTCACTTCAATCAGCTTGTGTTTGAATTCATAAGAAACTGCCTCCCTGACTTAGCCCGTACCCAGTGCCATAGACTCTCACCTGCCCAGCAAGCCCTGCCATTGTGGATCTAGCCTGAGGGCTGGTCAGTGAGGCTAATGCTGTCGTCGGAGGCTTCCATCACTGTAATGTGGGGTAGTTCCTTTCTATGTATCCCTGTGTTTTTAGGTTTGTAGGAGACTCCAAGATGGGAGTCAGAGGTGGGAGTTACACTAAGCCTGGTCTCCTCGTCCTCTGTTTCCTCTTCCTCAATACGACCTACTGACTCTGGGTCTTCCCTACGGTAGAAGCTGGGGCTGGAGGCGGGAAAGGTGCCTTCTGCCCTTGCGCGTCGTAGTTGATGGTGAATTCGGCTGCCCTTTCCAAAATTCTTGAGGCTGACTGCAGGGGAAGCTGCTGCAGTGAGGAAGCGGTTGAGCAGGGGCGTCTGGATCCTAGTCATGTTGGGTGATGCATCTATCTGCTGGTTCTGTTCTGGGTCATCGCTCATCCTGCACAGGGAAGGGAAAAGGTTAAAGGCTTAAAGCACAAGCAGTTGGATCCTGTCAAGGTCATGATTTTGTGCAGAGAAATATGACCCCTCCCCTCCTGCAGCAATCCCAAATGCTGCTCTTGGGGTACAGGGGTTCCCATGAGTAACACGAGGGGGGATTTGGGGGTCTGCTGCAGGTGGGGGGGATCCCATCAAAATTCCCCATCCCTTTTCAAAAGGTCCAACCCAAGATTCCTTGAAGTGTCGAGATTCCAGCAGCATAATTTCAGCTATTTACATAACCTGCTTCAATACATTTTAGGGTCCAGTGGTGCCTTTTAAAACCAACCAAGGGTCTATTTTTAAGGTATGAGCTTTTGTGTGCATACACACTTTTTCAAATACAGTGGAATGGGAGGTAAGGGTCAAACTTCTAGACAGGCAAATTAACATGTGGCATGATGTTTTAAGATATGCAAAAACAAATAACAAGCTAAGGTTATAAGGCCAACAGTTGTAAAGCAGTAAATATGTCAAAATAAATTTGAGACTCTGTTCACCCTCAGAGTGTGGAGGTCACTAAACAGCATTTTTACTTTCTCTTTTGAGGTGGGAGAATTGTATGTCAGCCAAACATTCCAATATTCCTTGTATTACATTCAGTATTGTAATATACTATTCCGAAAAAGAAATGCATTAAAATGTATAGTCCTTCTGTATGAGAAGTAGCAGAATACAAGTAGAACTTTTAATGATGCCCTTTCCCAACCATGTTAGATAGAACATTTATATAATTTTTGGTGTACAGGCTGCAGGTTTGTACATAAGCCCTACAGTACTGGATATTTTTAATCCCTTTCCTAATATACTAATAATGTATGGGATTCATCCACTATCAGTGTTTTTTGCCTTGGGTGACGGCGGAAAAAAGGAGGGCCTGGTGCCTTTTCTTGCTTTTGAGGTTTACCATCAAGAGTTTGGTCAGGGAGGTAATAGCACATCTCTTAACATGGAACTAATTGGGGGGAGGGAGGGCTGCCATTTTACCTATACCAATTGAAGGGAAGAGTTCAGCTCATCCCTGAGCAGTCACCTTTTGTGGGCCCCTGGGCTGAAGGGAAGGTGAGACTGATCAAGAAATGCCTTCGGCTGAATTGTGAATAATTTAAAAGGGAGTCCAGAAAATGAGAGGGAACAGAAGCCTTCTCTGGTGTACTTTTTAATAGCTGAGTGCTCGTGGGGCTGGAGCTCGGAGCTCTGTTGGGGGCACTCTCCCATCCTCTCTGAGAAGAGTGACTGCATTTGATTTTCCAGTTGAACATACCGCATGTCAAAGGTGGATCCCATGAAGGAGGGTTTCAAGGTCTCGGCCATTGTGGCCATTGTGTAGGGGGGTTGCGCTGTAGATTCGTTCCAGTATTTGTCCTTGCCAGTTGGGGGTAAATTTTGGTACATGTCATCCACTGAAAGCAGTGATACCTAATCAGGCAATAAAGGACAATTTTTTAAATCAAAGGGTAACTTAGTAAAATTTATTTTTAGTAATGACTGTTTCAGTTCAAGTTTGAAGATAACGAAGAATTGAATATCATTACAAAGAGTGTGCACAGTAAACCCATGTAAACAAGGATGTCTCTGGAGGAATAAGAAAATTCATAACACTCATTGCTAAAGGATCTGAAGAAAAACAGACTGAACAACTCAGCCTGTTTTGAGTAAGAGGCGATGTAGAGTCATGGCTGGGTCCACAATAGAATCTCCTTCTCCAGCTCTTGTTGGATGGGAGTCGTGTCACGGATTTTGTGGAAGAAATCAAATCAGGAAGTATTGTGAGAAATGGAATTAATGCAATTACAAAGAGATTAAAATCATCTGGTGTGCAGTCTGTGGGTAAAAAGGATCATGAAGTTGTATTCTGATCTACTTAAATTGCATAAGTCTGGGTTTTGCACCATTCCACTAGTGGTGGTACTTGTGTCCAGCAAAGGGCTTTTTGTGCCACAGCCAAGTACTGCCGATGACAGGCTATAGTCATGGGATCCGGCCCTCTGTTTTGTTTTTATTGTGAGTTTTCACAGAAGCATTGTGTTAAGGATAAGTCAGGGTGGCAGGAATGGAGCTCAGTATTATGCAGATCACATGTATCTTGTTCAGATGGTTCCAAAAGACTCTAATAAAAAGACTCTAATATTCCCAATATGGATAGCATATTGCTTTTCCTTTATATGACCAGACTCACCTGGAGGTTCCTGTCTATCAGTTTGTTGGTTTCAAAGTCGTCGTCATCCTCTCCAAAGGGATTAATTATCTGTTCTGCCACCTGCAGGAAGAGAAAGATGGGAGGAATATCCAGTGCTTTTAAAAAGGGTGACAATTCTGAGTTTTGGCAGACAATTTGTAAATCTTGGGGGAACTCTGAGCCCATATGATCTATTTACATAATATCACTGAATCCTCTTCCCCAAATTTATTGAAACTCCCATTGAATGCTGCATTTGAACTGAGAACTCAACAGATGGACTTAACCAGGATAAGGCCCTGAGAAGAAATGGCTCATAACAAAAATGAGGACATAAAACAGCACTCCAAGCAAGGCAACTTTATATAAGCATATTAATGACATATATATCATAAAGCCAGTCGAATCCTTCTCTAGGGGGCAGTGCTCATCTCCGTTTCCATGCTGAAGAGCCAGTGCACAGAACACTGTTACCTTCCCACCGAAGTGGTACGTATTTATTACTAAAATTTTGGTGCCTAAAGTCCACCACCAACTCCTTAATGTTAGGTGTGTTTCTATTTGCTGGGTGCAGTTTTGTTTTTTAAATGGCTTGTGGAAGAAATCCTCACTGCAGGGCGAGTAGTGTAAAACAACTGTACAAGTGAGAAGGGGCTGCCTGAAGTCCCCATTCTGCCCCCACCCCCATTTGTAGATTGCCTCCAGATCCTGTTAAGAATCTAGCTTTTTAAATCTATAGGGAATATAAACGGCTTTTGGCCATGATGCCAAAATGGTATCTCTCATTTTCAGAAGTGGCCATGATGCCAAAATGGTATCTCTCATCTTCAGAAGCAGAACAAATTTAGAGTCCAGTGGCACCTTTAAGACCAGCAAAGGTTTTTGTGTGCATGCACACTTTTTCAAATGCTTCAGGAGCAGTATGCCCAGGGGTCATTTCGTAGAAAAAGAGCTAGGGGGACTCATTAGCATATGCCACACCCCCTGACATCACCGGAAATGTGTCATAAGTCCACACACCCCGGCCCCAACAGTCCCGGCCGCCACCGCTGGCCTTGCAGCTCCACTGCCGAGCCCCACAGGAGTGCAAGGAAGCCCCGCGAAGGCCCTCCCTGGCCCCAGGCAGGCAGGGGTGGGGAGAGGCAGGGAGGAAGCAACTTACCCTCCCTCTTCTCCTGGCTGAATGAGGGCCAGAAGCAGGGGGCGGGGCTTTGTCATGTGTCCCGCCCCCCGTACCTCACCCGGGGGAACTGTGTTCCCCCGCGTTCCCCCCCCCCCGAAATGACCTCTGAGTATGCCACAATAATCGGGGGACAACAGTGGGAAGGACTGTTGCTTTCAGCATCTGTTTGTGCTCTTCACAAAAGTAGTGGATCCCTGTGGAAAACAAAATGCTTGACTAGATGGATCTTTGGTGTGATCCAGCAGGCTGTTGTTACAGATGACTGACTGCTGTGGCAAGATCACTCAGTAGCTATCAGTGACTTCAGAATCCCCAGAGAATAACTGAACTTTAAAGCCTGTTGTGCATCCTGCCCACTTTGGTTCTAGGGATGGAAATCAAGATCTCCAGCAAACTAGTTAATTGGTAGATCCTTGGGCTCGGACAGCCTCTGCTCAGATTCATGTTATGCCCCTGGACAAGCCACTCTCAAGAATATAAAAGACAAGTCAAGGCATCGGGTGTTGGGGGGGGAAGCATTCTCACCTTCAGCCAGCCAGCATAAAAGAAGAACTGCAGGAGGGTGGGCAAGGGAACGTACATATCTAGGTCTCCAGCTTGATCTGAGTCCAGAGGCTGTAGGAACTGGCGCCCAATCACACAAAAGGCAAAGAAAGAGTAGACAGCAATGGTGACTACCTACAGAAGATATTCCATTAATGTCAGCTGGAGATTGTTCGGTGTTACTAATGTCACACAGGAACATATATCCTCCTCTTGCGGTATCTGATTAAAGACTGAACATATGTATTGGCAGTGTACTAGATGCCCAACCAGCTGCAAAGCAATAAAAACAATTTGCTCTTTTATTTCGTAGCTTGGCTTGCCAATTATTTAGCAGCTGTAACAGCAGACATGTCTATCTGTTCAGTTGTGTGTCTGCCTCAAGTCTCAGAAAGGTGGACTACAAACAAAAGTTCCCTAGGAGGAGCAGAACGAGATGGGCAACAACTCCTGGATGCTTAGAGGAACTTCCAGGTCTCCCTACTGCAGTAGAATGGGCCATATATGTAAGAAGAACAGCTGCAGAAGGGAAGAGCCAGCAAGGCTCCAGCAGCAAGAGAAGGAAGTGTTTGGATGCATATTATGATACACAATGGGGAGAGGAAGGTGAGGATGTGGCAAGTGGCACAGGCTCCATTGTTCTATTTTCAAGAGACAAAGAGAAGGGTTATGTGGGTATTTAGTACTGATTATTAAATACAACACACAGGAAAGGTGATGGTGGAATCAAAAAAGGATGCTTCATGCTTACAGTAGCCAATGTCTTTTCAAACTCCATCACCTCTAAAGGAGAAGGAGGAGACTGGATTTTTACCCCACCCTTCACTACTCAAAGGAGTCTCAGAGTGGCTTACAATCTCCTTTCCCTGCCCTTCCCCACAACAGACACCCTGCGAGGTGGGTGGGGCTGAGAGAGAGCTTTCAAGAACTGCTTATGAGAGAACAGTTCTGAAAGAACGTATGGCTGACCCAAGGTCACACCAGCAGCTGCATGTGGAGGACTGGGAAATCAAACCCAGTTCTCTCAGATTTCTCCCTTTACTACTATTTATTTATTTGTTAGATTTGTACCCCGCCCTCCCCAGCAGACTCAGGGCGGCTACAACAAAGGCAATTGCCATAACAGTTAAAACATCATAAAACAATCATTACACAATAAAAACAATCATTAAGTAAAGTGCGGTGCTCTTGATGTTAAAAAATTTTCTCAATCCAAGATGGGTTCATTCATTAACCTAACCTGACAGCATGCATTGTGGGAGGGAGGGGATGTTTGTTACTGACCTGTGTGTACACCAGGGGAATGCTGATCCAGTCATAGTGAAAAAGCATGCTGCATTTGGAGCGGTAGAGATTCAGTTCCTGAACAGAGAGGGTTTTTTTTCCCTTAGTTCAACATTGAGAGAGCTAACAGGCTGAATTAGTATACGTACATCTCGAGTGAAATCTCAAGGCCCCTCCCTTGTCAATATAGTTAAAACTTTGATTTTCAGCTAAGAGAATACTGGATCAGTTGCCACTGCTACTTCATGAAGCCCCTATACAACCCGTTTGTGTTATAGAAGTAATACCTAGCAATGAAGGTCACAGTGCTGGAGACTGTAAGCAAAAGTCCCTGACCAGTGTTGTTTTTTTTAATTATTATTTTAAAAATGTATTAGCTGCGAATGTTCCCTCTAAGCTGTGGAGTCTTGTGAGCAAAAACTGTACTTTGTGAGCTACTGGCATTAAAGTTGTGAGCAAGCAATTTGGCTACTGCATAAGTTAGTTTGCTTTGGAGCCATCCTTCCTGAGCTAAGACAAAAATGTGTGAGCTGGAGGCTAAAAAAACCATGAGCTAGCTCACACTAACTCAGCTTAGAGGGAACATGGGCTGCCTTTCTACCTTGTGGAACTCAAGGCTGCCTACGATGTAAATAAAATTATTATTTAAAAAAATACCTAAAAACCACAATTTAAAATATCAGTCGGGACTGCCAATAAATAAAAACTAAATTAGTGAAACGCAGTCCTAAATAAAATTCCTCTTCCATGAATAAAGACTGGGTATTGCTACAGGCACCCATACATCCTTGAAGCATATTCAAATCTGAAACTGAGCAAAGGGGGAAAATCACGCTAGTTGTGCAGCAAAGAACAAGCTTGGGCTGCCGACTAGTGACCCCCCTGACTGTTTCCACAGCTTACGTCCATGAGTAGGCGGAGTGCCACATCATCCCGGATCCGCCCGTCCCGTCGTGCCTGGGCTGCTAGATTGGTGAACCACACACAGGGGATCCAGTATTTGTTGAAGTCTGAGTGGAGGCTCTCAAACATCTTGCGCTCCTCTTGTGTCATGAAACCTGTGTGAAGGCAAGAGCAAGTTGAACCGCTGCTCTCGCCCCTGCTCCTTGGTGCTGGGAAGAGCACCCAGGACCGGCCTGTGCTACTAGCTGTAAATAAGGCCCTCTGATGATAAAGGCTTCCAGTGAGTCTGTAGCGGCATTTATGTGACAGACTCAATGAAAGCCTTTATCACCGGAGGGCTTTATGCTGAGCCCCACAGGGAAATTTCCGGGCAATTTGGAGCCAGGAACAAGTCAATCACCCCTCCTCCCTTGCCACTCAGCCCTAAATCCCCCTCTTCCAAAGTTGCCTTTGGTGAGGTATGATTATATGCATTACTGGTTAACTTGTGATGAATCCCTGACAGCTCTTGTACGAGAGTTCATTGTCAGTGTAATAGAAAGCCGATCCATTACTTCATATGCTGAAAATTAGCTTTATAAGTTGTTTAGTAGTTCAGTAATAAGCTGCGGTGGCTCAAGTGGTTAAGACGCTGAACTGCAGGCTGTGGAAGGTCGGTAGTTCAGCAGTTCGAGACCTGGGTGCCGCATGACGGAGTGAGCTCCTGTCTGTAGTTCCAGCTCCTGCCAGCCTAGCAGTTCGAAAGCAAGAAATTGCAAGTAGATAAATAGGTACCACTTCAGTGGGAAGGTAACAGCGTTCCGTGCGCCTTGGTGTTTAGTCATGCCGGCCACATGGCCACGGAAACATCTTTGGACAGCGCTGGCTCTTCGGCTTTGAAACGGAGATGAGCACCGCAACCCTAGAGTCAGATTCGACTGGCTTTTGAGCAAGGGAACCTTTACCTTTTTAATAAGCTGTAGGTCTCAGTTTGTCATTGATGCAAGTACATTGTGTGAACTGAACTGATCTTTACTGATAGAGATACAGGGCATTTTACTCTTGTCTCTATATACATAACACAGAGATAGTTAAATGTTTGTTTAAAACTGATGTGTCTCTATACGGAATCAGTGAATGATTCCAATGATCAGTCCCTGATCCTAGGCCTAACTTCAAATGAGGCAACATCCTACCATTTTGTATGCACATTATACAGGGATTTCTCAGCTCGGGGATTTAGCAGGTTTTTGCAGAACTCTCCCTGGTGTCCCAAGACCAGTGTTCAGATTTAGGTGCTTCTGGAACAGTGATATCTATGGAGTTGTTGTTGGTAAAGCTTGATTAGTTAGATAGTGGTGCTGTTTAAATAAATAAATAAAACCTTCATAGCTTTGAGTCACATTGGGGCATCACTCCCTCCCTAACCCACTTCTCCTTGCCCAGGTTCAAGATGCAGAGTTACCAGCATCTACTATGTGATCCATCGTCGGGAACCTCTTAAGCACCCTGGTGCTGACTGAGCGCAGGATGAGTACAGATGACAGGTTGGCGTAACGGATGAGAGTACGCCGCAAAATGCGGCCTTTGTCATCCTTGCCATGCACGTTGCTAGAGATGATGCACATCAGCTGGTCCGGCAGTGGGATGCTGGTATACTGAGCCCACCAGCGGTTCACAATTAGTGTGACATAGAAACCTGCCCAGAGAAAAATAGAAGGGGCCTTGAAATTATTTACAGTACAGCAATGTAGCTTTCCCAAGTATGATGCGTGGTGTCCAGCCTTAGTGAGACAATTGCTGCCACTGGCGTATATCAGCTCTGTACACTGCTAAGTGGAAACATTTAAATTATTACTAATCATCAACATCATCAATAAAAACCTCAATGACATAACTCATCACAAAGAAAAGTCAGCTTTGAAGATATGATTCATTCGGCCCTGAAGACTTAACCAATTTTCAGAAGGCCCGTCAATAAGGGAGGAGGCTTGGGGGCAAGTCTCTCTTCCATGTGACCACTGGTCTTATTTATTTAAAATCTTTATATTGTGCCTTTCTGCAATGCCAAAGGTAGCTTATAAAATATGCATATACACAGTTAAAAACATAATTAAACACATGCATTAAAATATATCAAATTAAAACTGCAACATTGTCAACAGCCAGCTGCTGGAGATAGTCATTCGTTGTTTCTGCTAAGGTAAGCTTTGCATCTTTTATGGACCGAAGAGAGTGTAGACGCCTTTTGTACTGTATCTGGCAGACTGTCCCAAAGTGTAGACACAGCCACTGAAAACAAGACTGCACAGGTTGTAGCTGAACAAACCTCCCAAATGGAGGAGACCATAAGAAGTGAGGTGCCTGGCAACCTTAGTTGGTTCAGAGATCGAATCTCCTGCGGAGCTGGGCACACGGGAAAGCCAGTTCCGAAGCAGGCTATGCATGAGCTCACAGGCACGCAGGCTTCTGTGTCGCAAGGAGAGGAAAGCCAGTTCCAAAGCAGGCTATGCATGAGCTCACAGGCAGGCACGCAGGCTTCTGTGTCGCAAGGAGTGGAAGCCCCCTGGCCTGTAAGGGGAATCCCTTGTCTTTGACTTACTCTCTCTAGAGTACCTGGTAACTTGACTGTGTGGCTCAGAGAACTGTCATTTTCACTTTGGACTTTTTGGAGCACATGTGACAAGGGTGGGATATGAGAGTTAACAGAGGGAATAGCTTGTGAACCCACCAGCTTGGGTGTGTGTGTTTCTACCATTTCATTCTGTCCTCTAGTAGGTTGCTTGCACTGGCAATGGCAAGCAGGCTCAGGATGCATTTTTCCTGTCTAAGCTGTATATCATTTAGACAAATCTTCTCCCATGCCAAACTGTCTCTTCCCTTTTCTTTTTAATTACCTGTCCCCTGCCCAGTACTTCCCCCTTTTTTCCAGGCTGCAACATGCTTTACAATATCCCTGTGTTATCATACTTTCCACATTATGCTTCTCTCTTGTTAATCAGGGCCAGCCCTCATGTATACAAAAGGACTTTTTCTCCAAGCATGTCATTTGTACTTCATGTTGGCTTATAGATCATCTGGGGAGCTGTGGCCCAAAAGCAGCACTGGAAGCTGAAAAGGGAGGAGGGTATGCTAGATCGGATCTTGAAGGAGGAGAGCCGTCTGAAATTAGCAGGATTCGTTCCCAGCTCTGAGAGGAGATCTGGAGCTATGGATAAGAGGAAGGAAGTGGCTTAAAGCCAGAATGTCTGGGTCCCCTTCTCATTTGCACGAACACACGTGAAACCTGCCTTATACTGAATCCGGGTCAGCAGCACTGTCTACTCAGAGTGGCAGCCACTCTCTAGAGCCTTAGGCAGAGGTCTTTCACATCACCTCCTGCCAGATCTTTTTTTAACCAGAGATGGCAGGCTGTGGAAGGTCAGTAGTTCAGCAGTTCGAGACCCGGGTGCCGCATGACGGAGTGAGCCCCCGTCTCTAGTTCCAGTTCCTGCCAACCTAGCAGTTTGAAAGCAAGAAATTGCAAGTAGATAAATAGGGACCACTTCAGTGGGAAGGTAACAGCGTTCCGTGCACCTTGGTGTTTAGTCATGCCGGCCACATGGCCATGGAAATGTCTTCAGACAGCGCTGGCTCTTCAGCTTTGAAATGGAGATGAGCACCGCAGCTCTAGAGTTGGATTCCCTTTCAAGCAAGGGAACCTTTACCTTTTTACATGCCAAGCAGATGCTCTGTCACTGAACCAAGACCCCTCCCCAATGAGGAGAGACATTTAATGGGACATCAGAAGTGTTTTGGAAAGACAGGCTCTTGGACTCTGTTCTCTCATTTTGAAGGGGGGTGTTGGGGGTATCTTAGAGCAGGGCATGTCAGCAACACCTTTTCCTATTGTTGAAAAGAGACCGAAAGTCCTATCTCAATATCTTCTTTATCTGCAGATATTTTCTATAGGATCCAAGCCAGGATGTGTCACTAGCAATGTTCCCTCTAAGCTGAGTTAGTGTGAGCTGGCTCACAGTTTTTTAGCCTCCGGCTCACAGATTTTTGTCTTCGCTCAGGAAGGACAGCTCCAGAGCAAACTAATGTATGTAGTAGCCAAATCGCCCACTCACAACTTGAATACCAGAAGCTCACAAAGTAGAATTTTTGCTCTCAAGACTCCACAGCTTAGAGGGAGCATTGGCCACTAGTGTTGGAGTTTTAAACCCATGTTTACAAGTAAAGTGGGGTTCTGAAAAAGTGAATTTTACTAAATGTAGGCCATTTCCTCCAGCCCTTACAAAAGTGCCCAAGCCAACAACCTGGAGAAGGGGTTTCTGTCAAGAGCAGGCAGGGAGGTAGTGTGAGGGCATAGGTGTGCCATACCTAGGACGAAAGACAGGGGGATTAGGTCAGTGGAGCGGTTGCAGTACTGAGCCACTTTTGAGAAGAGATGTTTCTGTTTCTCATTCAGAAAGTGCCTAGGACAGGAGAGAGAGAGACAAAGACAATCATAACAACGTAAGAGCCTTGCTGGATCAGACAAGTGGTCCATCTTGTCCAGCATCCCCTTTCACACTGTGGCTAACCAGTTAACCTGGAGGGACAACAAACAAGGCACAGAGGTCCAGGCCTGATGTTGCTTCCTAGCACTGATAGTCAGAGGATTCTAATGAACAACAATTAATTTAAATTCCCTGTTTCCCCAAGTAGTCCATTAGAAGCGTACTGTAAGGGGCCTATAATAGCATTGTTTATGAGCCAATTAATCTGTAGCCTTCAAACATCCTGGTAAACCACTCTGAAATCCAAGACAGCAGAAGTGTGGTTATGCTGTGTGTGTGATGTATTGGTTGAAGTGTTGGTCTAGGACCATGGGTTTGAATTCGTAGCCACTATCTCTCTGTGTAGCCTACCTCTCAGAGTTGCAATGAGCATGCAGTGGAGGGGGCAGAACTCTGTATGCTGCTCTCAGCTTCTTGGAGGATCGATGTTATAAAAATGTAATAAAGATATGGAAGAAGATCACAAAAAAACCCTCCTTCCCCTTGCAGTATAAGTGCCTTACAGTAAGCTAGGCAGCCTACACCATGACTCCCAGTTGTCCAGATCCATCATGGGACTCTTATAGCTAAAAATAACAGTGCAGAACACATGGAGAGGGAGACACAGGTTCAGGACTCTAATACTGGGTTGGGAAGGAGGCACCTGGAAAGGATGACTGGCCAGGAGGAAATAGGTGCTTGACTTTCTCTTGCCTTCCATCTATTTGAAATAACCTTCTTCCGGGTATGCTCCAAAACTAGAAGTAAGCCCAGCTGGAAGAATAGCCCAAGAAGGGGATTTGCAGGGGAGAATCAGCACCCCTTCAGTAACGTGTGTTTCTTCCTGCAGGAAGGATAGCAGACAGAAGAGACAAGTGTGCAATAAGCAAATATGGGGGACAAGCTCTGCTGTGTCCTGATGTGGAGTCTGCGATTTACAAAAGAATATGGACTGCCTGTGTGACTGACATGGCTCTGGGTGGCAAATGAAACCCTGCACATCACTCAGTGGTGATGGAGGGGCTGGGAGTGGGAATGACTTTATGCTGTAAGGGAAAATGGGAGGCATGCAAGAAAAGAGCACAATTTAAATATAAATTGCACTTATTCAAAGTGGATCTCAGCATCCACGCAAGACTCAAAACAACCCCCCCCCCACACACACACACACCATCCCAAAATTTGCTTCAATGTATTTATAATTCTGGGGCAAGAAAAGGTTGATTTGGCAGACTGTATAAGCTATGCAGATTAAGCAAATTTGCCGATATCTTCTTGTTTGACATAATTTATTGTACTTCTACTGATAGTGGGGAGGAGTAAGAAGCTATGCAGAGCCTTGATGCCCCCAGCTCAAACCCTTGGAAACTATACTGAGCTCTTGCCATCCCATTTGGAGTTCTCTGTATACATTTCTCTAGATTTTCAAGTCAACATTGCTACCTTAAAGACTAGAAACATGCTTTTTAAAAAAATGAAAGCACTGAAAATCTTAACTTGCAAACACTGTGCCTAGTACTGGATTCTGTAGTTTTCTTGTACTTAAGCAGAATCACAGATTTGATGCTTCTGTGCTTATAATGGAGCCTGCTATTGGAGGCAGGCTTAGAGCCCAAGGTGCAGAATTCAGAGTTATGGATTCCCGGGTTGACACCCAATTGGTAATTCAAATAGTGGGTTGCCAGCTCACCTGTAGGTGACACTCAGGGTTGCGTACAGCAAGATGAAGACAAGGAACTCCTTGTAAAGCAGTTTATAGATGCTCCCTTTCCAACGGAAAAGCAGCTTGGAGAAGCCCCCAAAGCGAGCATTGGCTACTTTCAGGGTGTATGAGACTGTCATGGCTGCCTTGTCTGCATGCCATGCGGGCACCAGCTAAAACAGCAAGAGAGAGAGAGAGACTGTTTAGGGAGGGAGAGATCGTGTCCCCCATTTTCTCCTGCATGCCTGCGTGTGGAATGCTGAATGACAATCATAGCGTGTGTTCCTAGGTGCCATCTTTAAATTGTATAGCATGCCATCACTGTTTTATCTCTCTACTCACTTAGAAGCTGTATTGCATTCTAGATTAATATCCAAAATGAATTTCCCCCAGATTTGGTTGCACAGCACAGAGGCTGTTTCTTGCAACGTGCCAAGTCTATGCACATCATCAAGGATGGGAGACAGTTTGCATAGAAGGTTCTGGGCCTGGGTGTGAATTCAGAGTTGGCTCCACTTTCAACATCTGAAACCATTTTAGGAGCTGATAATAAATTCTAAACCCATTAAAAAGTCCCTTTGTCCAGTGGCATAAGGAACCACAATGATGGCAATATTAGATCTGAGGGTATGGTATTTACTCTTTGCCAGGTGGCTGGGCAGAAAAATAATTGCTACGCAATCACCTGCCACTGAGCAAGCAGCTATACCTTAAGGATAGGTCAGTTAGCTGGGGCAAATGTACAATGTATATCAGGACCAGGCCTCGGTTCCTGCCAGAGCGCACCGGAGCACCGCTCTGCCAGTCAGGAGCCCAGGGGGAGGGCACATAAACCCCGCCCCCTGATCCCACCAGCCATCAATTGGGAAATGGTTGGGGGGGGCGAAACGTTCCCCCACCTCCCTGAGCCCCGGGGTGGTGGCCTTGGACTCGTAGGGACAAATTCCACCTCTCGTGTGTGACATCACACGTGAGTGGCCATTCTGGCTCCCCCAGCTCTCGGGAGGGGCTCTTTAAAATGTTATGGCCGCTGTCCTGTTCTTGGCGGCAGCTGCGACACCGGCGCGGGGGGAGGGGTGGGGCGAAACGTTCCCTTGCCTCCCTGAGCCCCGGGGTGGTGGCCTTGGACTCGTAGGGGCAAATTCCACCTCTCGTGTGTGATGTCTGAGCTGCGTTGCCGCTCGGACATCACACGCGAGAGGTCATTCTGTCTCCCCCAGCTCTCGGGAGGGGCTCTTAAAAAAGTTATGGCTGCCGTTGCGGCGGCAGCTGCGTCACCCGTGGGGATGGGTGGGGTGAAACGTTCCCTTGCCTCTCTGAGCCCCGGGCTGGTGGCCTTGGACTCATAGGGGCAAATTCAATCTCTCGTACGAGAGGTTATTCTGGCTCCCCCAGCTGTCCTTAGGGGCTCTTTAAAAAGTTATGGCCCCCGCCGCGGTGCTTTCGGCGGCGGCTGCAACCCCCGCGGGGGGGGGGGCGACGACTGCTGAGCTGCCCTCCCCGCCCTTTTCAGGCTTCGGGCCTGAAAAACGGCCTGTAGAGCAGCCCCCCTCCCCTCCTTTTTCAGGCTCCTCGCTAGAACGCTGGGTCTGAAAAAGGGTCAGCCGAATGTTAATTTCGGCCCCATTATATCCTATGGGCCATTGAAGTAAATGGCAAAAATATAGGGTATATTCTGGAGGCTGGAGGGGAGGTAGTTTGAGGGAGAGGCTCCAAACTCGCAGGGTAGCTGATGGAGCATCTTCCCAAGATACCAACCAAGTTTGCAGAACATTGGACCAGGGGGTCCAATTCTACGGGCCCCCAAACAGGTTGCCCCTATTCCCTCCATTGTTCTCTATGGTGGGAAAAAAGTAACTTCCCCCCCACCATAGAGAACAATGGAGGGGATGGGGGCAACCTTTTTGTGGGCCCGTAGAATTGGACCCCCTGGTTCAATGTTCCTGAAACATGGTGGGTATCTTGGGGAGAGGCTCCAGCAGCTACCCTACAATTTTGGTGCCTCTCCCTCAAATCCCCTCTCCTCCAGTCCCCTGAATATACCCTATTTTTTCGCCATTGAGTTCAAAGGCCCACAGGATATAATGGGGCCGAATGGGAAGCTGATTCAGATCAGAGAATCTGATTCTGCCCACAGCAGCCTGAAAGGTGCCTAAATGGGCCATTTTCGGGGGTGCATTCGGTTCAGATGAACTGAATGAACATCCCTCCAGCAGCTGGCTTGCTCGGGCTCTCTGCAGCCGCGGAGATCCTGAGCAAGCCAAGGGAAGGGAAGGTGGTTTAAACTGCCTCTCCTTCCCTCCAGCAGCCGGCTTGCTCGGGCTCCCCGAGCAAACCAAGGGAAGGGAAGGTGGCGGAGCAGCTGGAGACATTGAGCCTCAGCTCCACAAGTAATGAGCATTCGAGCCCCATCCCCAGCAGCCCTCAGGCTGGAGCACCTGGAGCAGTCTTGGGAGGCGGTTGGGCAAAAAGCAAAACCAAAAGCGCAGGAACTCGAGAGAACTCCAGGAATGGAGCCAGTTCCTCTTCCACAGCCCAAAATGCGACCCACGAACCCTGAGCTTGCTTTTTCTCATTTGCGAGTCTGGCCTCCGCACTCCTTTAACAAGGCAGCCCTGAAGCTTGGGGCGGCGGGAGTTTCTTTGCTCGCAGCTTGTGCGGCTGGCTGAGTGCCTCTTCTGCTTGCCTACCTCTCGCCTCTGCACCTCATCTTCTGCCAGGCATGGAGGAGCGCAGCTCGCCCAGGCTTCTTGCCTCCTGCTGCCTTGGCCCTCTGGTGCACGGGTGAGTCCCCAAAGTTTGACTCTTCCTCTACAAGTCTCTGGCTCTGGAGGTATTCGCCTCCTTTCCTCCTGCCTGCTATGGCTGCATAATTGTGAGGGATTTCTTAACATAGTGTTCCTGCCAGGGAAGCTGGGGACCCTGCCCATGAGTCTCCATTTCATCCTCACAACAACCCCTGTGGGGTAGGTTAGGTAGAGAAGGGGAGATTTGGCCCGGGGTCACTCAGCCAGCAGAGTGAGAATACAAACCTGGGTCTCCCCACATCAATCTGCAACTCTGACCACTGTGCAGTGCTGCCTCTACTGATCTGTAATGTTTCAGAGGTGATGTAATGTAATACTCAGTTTCTCAGACGAGTGTATGCCTGTCTGTTGGTCCACTTAGGAGTCTTGATCCTGGTTGTGTGGTGGGCTAGTTATGGCAAATGGTAGGGAAGCTCAGTATTTCTGTATACAGTTGTAGGGGCTTTATTGGAAGGTGATATGGTCTGATATTGTGTTCTTATTCCAGTGGGGGGTGTGGTGTGCGGCAACGGAAGCTGAGTGATAGGGTCTCTCCAAGTGATTGCCAGAAGTGAGATGCGTCCTGGTCTTGTGTCTTACAGATAATCTTACAAATAGTCCTTTGCATTTATATCATGCTTTCAACTTTAAAAGGATCATAATGCTGATTGTGTGAACTTAGGCAAATCACGAGAGGTAGAGCAGGAAGGGTTGCATCAGTGCTTAGTTCTTGTGGCCCTTTCTTACACACCCTGGGAAATGCTGATTGCCACTTTGGGGCCAGGAAGCAATTTTTCTCCAGGCCAGTTTGGCCCCCAGTGATCCTGGAGGGTTTTTTTTATCATATTCTGGGCGTGGAACAGGGGTCACTGGGGTGTGTGGGGGGTATTGGTGAATTTCCTGCATTGTGCAGGGGGTTGGACTAGATGATTCTGGTGGTCCCTTCCCACTCTATGAGTCTATGATTCTATAATTCACCCAGGCTGGCTGTGGGCACGCCAGCACCTCTGTTGGGCAGAAGCACCTGAGATCCTTCCCCTCCCCTTTTCCTTTGCCCGACTTGGAGGCGAAGGGAAGGGAGAGGGGGGAAAGACTGGATCCCAGGTGCTTCTGCATGTCAGAGGGGCTGTTGCACACTTCCGGTTATGTCAGGGTGTGTGGCATATGCTAATAAGTTATGCTAATGAGCTCCTGCAGCTCTTTTTCTACGAAATGACCCCTGGGAATGGCCATGTGATTCTTCATGCGCTCCTGTACAGATACATTTCCTACACACTTTTCAGAGACAGGGATCTGGGAAAGTGTCCTTTCTCTTATTGAAAAAACTTTCATAGGGTTCACAAAGCACCCACGAATTGTACCCATCAGTGGATTATCAGTCACCCAAATATCCAGCCAGTGTTTTCAACTCTCCAGCTCTTCCACTTTCACAACCATCAGTCCACTGCTGACTACTCAGAAATGAGTCTCTGTAGACAAGAGCTCTTCTGCTCTGGTGATCTAAATGGCTAGCTGCTCTCATAACTCTTGCCAGCCACAGAAGAGCATCCCGTTCCCAAGGCATTGGACAAGAAAATGGAGCCCACCACACCACACACAGCTTCCTTTGTACTCTTTCCTGAGGGTGTTGATAAGCAAACAGCCTGTCAGTGTGCATTTTGTCTCTTTCCCGCAGAAATTCCATATGATACTGTAGAACACAATTGCTCCCAAACAGCAGTGAAAGGTCATATTTTTACTACCACCAAAATGAATGATTGCCTTGAGTGGCCTCCCTTGGTATATTGCTGGATAAGTTACCCATACAAATTTGTGTACTTTCTAGGTTGTTACTGAGATGTCATTGGGGCTCACAGATTCCAGGTGAAATTGGTTTCTAGCTTTAACAGAACCTGATGCTCATTCACCTAATGGAAACAAAACTATTTTTGCTCATGCCTGGAGGCACAAGCAAGAGTAAGCTCCTGAGAGAGCCAGGGGCTTCCCCCCTCCCCGCCATTTACAGCCATAAATCCCTGCCATATATCAATAGAGCCCCAAGAGTATATGTCCCAGATAGACAACAATTGCTGTATGCAGCATGAGGCAGAGAGTTGAAGGAGCATTGAACTGCAGGCAGTCAATAATTGTGAGAAAGCTGGTTTGTCGCATGAAGAATGGAAAGGTCCCGTGCCTAGCCCAGAGTGCTAGGGCTGCCATATTTCTTATCTAGGTGGACTCCTGTGCCATCACGTTTATTAGGTATTCTGGTCAATATTCAGCATGGGAAGACATCTTTACATTTCTGCCTGTTATGCTGTTGATACACACCAGAGGCCCGCCAGAAGAAAAAGCAGCATGTGTAATGAATGAAT